ATTTAAGAAGTGTTGCATGTAAAGCACTCAGCAACATCTTTGATTTTATAATTAATATGCATCTGCTTCTAGGATAGTTGATTCACTGTGTCGTGCTAGACATTTTTGTCGGTCGAATATATGTTCGATATTTATAAGTCTACCATGCTCTGAATATTGCCGTCACATATGATCTGGTGCTCCAGCTAAATATATAGACATTCTTGATAAAATCTAAAAGAAATCTGTCATGTCATTGGTCCTGGCATGGTGTCTCGAATTAAGTTCCTTTACCGCTGTAACGTAGAAGTATGTGGCTTTTCTTAAATACTAAATTGTCCTGATGAGTTTCCGATCTGATACTTAGACTTTATGTATTAAATACAGTAATAGTTTGGTGGAAAGGTCTCACCATTTTACAGTTGAGTTGGCTAGATATAACCGTAACTTCTATGCTAAGAGTTTCTTCTTTCGCACTTCTCGCTTGTGGAACTCTTTTCCCGCTTCTTGCTTTCAAATCTAATTTGATCTTCTTTGATTCTTCTTAATTCCTGTTCTTTTATCTTTACCATTTCTTAATAATGTTTCTTCATTTTCTTATATTTTTTACATTCAGTACCCACCCTCCTGCGTTTTATTCCCTTTCATGCCTGCCTGGGTGGGGGTGACATAATTAGTGCAAACTATTACACAATTACAAAATGATGTATTTTTGACGGTACGAATAGAGTTCTTTTAATATATATTACAGTCTTATTAGTGGACATTATAGTAAGGCAACCAATGATTTTATACTTTGAAACTACAATGTACGAACCGCCGAGGAATATATCGACTTTGTGATAAAATCCAGATTAGTGGATCATAAATAGAAGCCTTTATATATTAACCATATTAACAGAAAAATTAACGAAAAACGCTGTTTCCATTTACAAGCGAACCAGCACAATTTCATTATCATGAAAACACACTTACACTTTTCTGACAGCAAGGACGAAAATAAGTACATATAAGTGCGTACCAACAATTTGTCATGGAGGCGCTTATCATATCTGCTAATTTTGGCTTAATCCGATTCGTAAGGAAGTGAATTAATTTTCAAGTATTTCTTTGGCAATATAGTCAGTTTTAATCTCTTGGATTACATCGAGGCGCCAAACCGAATCTGAAGTATCGCTTTTGGCAAAAACGAAAACCAAAATAATATTGGGTTGGAACAAATGTTTCTGGTGTTTTTAAGTGAATTTTAAAGACAGTATTTAGATATTTTTAAAGTGGTTTATTTTACAACATATGTACCATGCCGAGCAATGAAATTTGAAGGATATCTATCTATATTTCTGAGATGAGGTATTGTAATGGCCCAGTGGATAAAAGCGTTGGTTGAAGCAACCCAGTGACTTGACCTAAAGAGTTGTGAGTTCTGGCCACAGCAGAGGGGAACAAAAACACTTGGAGAGTGAGTTACTACAGGGACATAACTGAAATTGAGATATCCCGAAAAGGCATGGCATGTGGAACTAGAACAATCTATACTGGTGGATGAAATAAAAATTCGTTTCGAAATTCCAGGGTATATCATCTGAAGAAGGCGGAGTGTACAACCGCCGAAACGTCGTGAATAAAGATGCGGATAATAGTTTGAACAATAGTGTAAATCTTTGAAGGAGATTCATGATTCTAAGCTCGTAAAATGTGACATGCTTCCCCGTGTGAAGCTGGTCAAAGAATTTATTACAGACATTTTTGTACTAATTTATCACCCAAGAGCCACTCGAGGTAGAGGTCTACTGAATGAGGTTGTTTTATGAAAGTAAGAGAAGGTAAGTAGTGCGGGTTATGATGATTTGTAGGAAAGATAACGGTTGATACGAAGAGGTTAAGATTGCAACGGACGGGAAAGCTACCACACATACATCAGCTCTTTTTTAATCGATTTCGCTCCAAGTAAGGCAGTAAATCCTCGGGTACTGGGTGTGGAAGATTTAGAAAAAAGAACGTTGCTAAGGATTCAGAACAAAAGTAGAGTAATCAAGAGGACGGTAGATAGCGATTGATTAACATTTTTGCAGATTAAAACTGAAAGCAGGAAGACGGAAGTGGGTTCCAGAAACGGCTTGTTGTGTAGATATATGTTATATTTTCTCTGTGCGGGACATGTGTAAATATGTATATGTAATTTTGTGTAGGACTTAGCGGCATAAAACTCTCCCTGAGAAAAAAGATCATGTCTATCATTCCTTTTTCATTCGGCTATTCCGTTCCCAAATATGGATATAATAATGCCCATAATGGGCGAAATTAAATAAGAGAATAAACCCTTCTCCCATAGCTTTCCCATTATCTGAATCAATCTGAATCAATCTGTGACATGATATTCTTAACCTTCATTAGTTTTATACTTGTTCTGAATATTTAAACAGTCTGTAGCATGGTAGAAATCTGAGTCTAAAACTAGCGTTGATTAGCCTTTATATAAATAATCTTAATTTATCTATTTTTATCTTTAACTTTAATCTTAATATAAGTATAATGATATCTGATATTAATTCAATAGATTTATTAGGCCGTCTGACACAGATAGACGGTGTGTCCACGAAATTTGGAAGTGGATCGATTGAACTTTGATTAATTCATTGACTATATATATAGGTACTGTTCTGAAATTTTGAAGGCATCAATAATAGGTGACATCTCTCCCGTTTTGCCATTGTAAATCCACATTTGTATTGCCTTTTTATGCAAATCATTAAGACCTTTGATATTTATTACAGGAAGGATAAAACTAATTAAGGCTTCATCAATAAGCTCCCGATTGGATTTTTTTTTTTTTTTAAATAAAAGCAAAGGACGGGATTTTATTTACTAAGCTTTGCATGGCCAGTTCCTTCTTTATAGTTATAAATTAAATTATAAATTAATAAATTCTATTATTTAGTGTTGACCCATCTATGTTGGCGATGCTTAACTGGGATGATCCAACGTGAACTTTCGATTACTGTATACCTGATTATAATCAACTAAATGCTGGAGGTCCGTGAATGAGAAATCTGAGGAAGACGGCGACATGACAATCAGGAGGATGTAATTAAAACTATTTTGAACTAAACCCTCTACTAATGTTATTTAAACATAACGGCGGCTTTATTATTCAAAACAATGACTCCTTTTTTTGTTAACCAACCAGGCTGCTCTCTGCGTTTGGTTATCGGCATTAATACCTTAATGTAATAAATTGATTTCATTTTTTACGGTTTATCAACTAGTTGAAAAAAACATATTTTAAATCAATTAATTTATAATATATATACAGTGTAACCCGGATATAAGAGACGCGGATATAAGAGAAACCCGGATATAAGAGAGATTTTCTCTGGTCCCAAATTAGAGCCTGTGTTAATGTATATAAAATAGACCAAATCCATATATAAGAGAAACCCGGATATAAGAGACTTCTTCTCCGGTCCCGACAACTCTCTTATATCCGGGTTACACTATATATATATATATATATATATATATATATATATATATAGATAGATAGATAGATAGATAGATCGTTAATGTGTGTGTGCGTTGAAGCGTTGATTTTTTCATTTGTAAAATCTCTTGTTTTCAATTTGATCTTGACGTTGTAGAATTTAACACACCGCTAAAAATATATACGAATATATCTGTTGTGCAAATGGATAGATAGATAAGTAGATATAAACATACAAAGAGAGAGAGAGAGAGAGAGATAATGACATAATGAGATAGATAGATAGATAGATAGATAGATAGATAATGAGCAGAGTAAGATAGATAGATAGATAGATAGATAGATACTAACTGATTCGTTTTTATGACTGATCAATCTTTTTCAGATCATTTAAAGCCAGAATATTTTTATATTGCAAGAAATATTTGTATTGATGAACACGATTAAGTGGTCCAAGAACTACTAATAAACTTATAGTTTGGGGAAGACGAAGTCGATCTATACATTTCCAAGGCGTATTTGCGGGTAAGTGAATAAAAATAAGCCGACTGGAATTGAAACTCGTCTCTCGGATTTGCAGACGTTATTCATTACACCCACCGCACATCCAAGCTTACGACTGCTGGTATTCACCCCCTCTATGTACTGACTAGTTTCGACGTTGCTTAAATTCGACGATCGTACGCGAACCCGTGTTTCCACGCGACAAGGCCAATAGCCTTTACTCACCTTGAAACAACATCTGGCTGCCTTTAATGAAATGGCTATAAATTTATAGCTTTTTTTTTATGCTTGTACCAATTTATGCCTTTCTTTCTCAGGTATTTTAATAACTGTTCGGGCTTCGTATTGTTTAATTGAAGAGAGGATATTTCAATAGACGCAGCACGATATTTCACACAATACATATCTAGGATCTACTCGAAATTTCACTCCAAGTAAACCACACCTGAATCATTCAGGAAAATACAAAGTAACAATTTTGTAATGCAGATGTTTTTTACGAGATGTGTGAATATGTAACATATACTAATTTTGGCATTTTTTTTTTTCGTTTAAATTGTGTCTAGTGACAATATCCTGTTATGTTTTTAATCATTTCACCCCAAGCAAAACGATAGTGCCACTAAGAGGCTTGGCGTTACTGAGAATGAAAGAAAATAGGCAAACTTTAGTGAGGAGAAAGGACAATAAAAGAACAAGTGTCATGAAGATAGAAGCTAGTGAATGATTTTTAATTATTAATATTTTATTATTATTTTAATATTTATTATTATTTTATCATTATTATTTTTTATTTATCATTATTATTTTATTATTATTATTATTTTATTTATTATTGTTATTTTATTATTATTTTATTATTATTATTTTATTTATTATTAATTTATTATTATTATTATTTTATTATTATTATTTTATTTATTATTGTTATTTTATTATTATTTTATTATTATTATTTTTTATTTATTATTAATTTATTATTATTATTATTATTTTATTATTATTATTTTATTTATTATTGTTATTTTATTATTATTTTATTATTATTAATTTATTATTATTATTATTTTATTTATTATTGTTATTTTATTATTATTTTATTATTATTATTTTATTTATTATTAATTTATTATTATTATTATTATTATTTTATTTATTATTGTTATTTTATTATTATTTTATTATTATTATTTTATTTATTATTAATTTATTATTATTATTATTATTTTTATTATTATTATTTTTTATTTATTATTGTTATTTTATTACTTATTATTTTCCTATTATTTTCTTATTTCTTATTATTTTATCATTATTATTTTATTTATTATTTTCCTATTATTTTCTTATTTTTTTATTATTTTCTTATTATTTTATCATTATTATTATCTTATTTATTATTGTTATTTTATTATTTTATTATTATTTTATCATTATTATTTTATTTATTATTTTCCTATTATTTTCTTATTATTTTCTTATTTTATGATTATTTTATTAGTTATTATTAATTTGTCATTATTATTATTTTATTTATTATTGTTATTTTATTATTATTATTTTATTCATTATTATTATTTTTATTTATTATTATTTTATCATTATTATTATTTATTATTTTCTTATTATTTTCTTATTTATTATTATTTTCTTATTATTATTTTATTTATTATTGTTATTTTATTTCTTCTTATTATTATTATATTTCTTATTATTATTTTCTTATTATTTTATCTATTTATTATTATTCTTATTATTTTATCTATTTATTATTATTTTATTTATTTATTATTTTATTCATTATTATTTTTTTTATTTATTATTATTTTATTTATTATTTTCTTATTTTCTAATTTATTATTATTTTCTTATTATTTTATTTATTTATTATTATTTTATTCATTATTGTTATTTTATTTATTATTATTATTTTATTTATTATTATTATTATTATTATTTTCTTATTATTCTTTTATTTATTATTATTATTATTTTTTCTTATTATTTTTTATCTATTTGTTATTATTTTATTTATTTATTATTTTATTCATTATTATTATATTTTATTTATTATTATTTTATGATTATTATTTTATTTATTATTTTCTTATTATTTTTCTTATTTATTATTATTTTCTTATTATTTTTTATTTATTTATTATTTTATTTATTTATTATTGTTATTTTATTTATTATTATTATTATTATTTTCTTCTCATTATTTTATTTATTATTATTATTTTCTTCTTATTTTATTTATTTATTATTATTTTATTTATTTATTATTTTATTATTATTCAGTTACTTTTTATCTAGCTAGTGATTGCTGTTGCATTTAGTTTTTTGAAGATCCTAGTTGTCAGGGAAGCAAGTGAGACTTTAAAATAAAAAAAAACTATGGCAAAATACTTGTGTTTGGTTCTGGTATAACCAGTTTTCTTTTCTCAGACATAACTAGACTTTTGCAACTCACTGAAATCATTCTATTTATATCGGGTTTCAATTTTTCGCTGTAAGCCCCTTGGAATAAACAATTTATATGTTTTATTTGATAAAGGTTCCAAAACGCAAAAGCTCTGATGATTTCAACTCGGGTATGGCAATGAAAAACCGTTAAGTGCTTCCTTAAAGTATAAGAGTAAAGATTCTAGATTTAATGAGGAAAGCAAAAAAAAAAAAAAAATTACACGCTGAATTTGCTAAGATCTATAGTACAAAAATTTTATTACGTTTATATTATCATTCTATAACAATTTTTCATTTTGTTTTATCTTGTATTTGTTATTATTACTAATTTTCATATTGTGCCTAATTTATGAAAGAAACTTTCATAAATTAGGCATCTGCTCGAGTCTCGGAATATTGGTATGTCGGGGAAGTGAAAGCTATACTTTTATTAAACCTGTCTTAGGTAGATAGATATGATAACATTAAGTAAAATTAATATATTAAGCGTCCTGTCTATATTGTCACTGTGTCGTGTCAGGAAGTTTTCTGGTCAGATTCCATATGAACATTTACAAATCTACCATTCGGCTGTGCATTGAATACTGTTGGCATATTTGGTCAGGTGACTGTTACTTATCTCGAGGTTCTTGACAAAATCCACATAAGGATCTGCAAAATAATTAATCCTGACTTGCTGGCATCACGACTTCAGTGATGTGATTTCTCTCTGTCTTTTCACTCAGATATTTTCATGGCAACTGCTTTGGAGAGCTTTTTTCCCGGGATGAACGATTTCATGAATTTAAGCGTGCTACTAGATTGGCATCTACGTCCTACCTTTTTACTGTTGAAATAATAAAATGTAATCGCTACTTCTACTCCAACGGTTTCTTTTCTCGCACTTCTCGCCTGTGGAACTCCCTTCCGTTTACTTGCTTCCCTGATATCTACAATCTCGAAAAATTGGGAAAGGAGGGAATCTATCGCTTCTCCCGCAGCTATGGATTAAATAGCAGAGCAAGCTGTACAATATAATTTCAATTAATAACTAACCCAGCGGAAGAATTTAACTCCGTGTAAAGCTAATTAGGAAAAAAAAAACACCCTATCATCACGTACCATTATGAAGGTACGACCCTAGACATCATAGAGTAAGTGAATTGATTGTTACTTATTTTGAATGGCTAGACATTCAAATTATGTTAGAAAGTTTCCAAGCTGTGATTTTATCCGCCATCATCATTCATCATCATCATCGTCGTCGTCATTGCCATCATCATCATCATCATTACCATCATCATTATCGTCAGACATTGATTACTTCGATCGTCGTGAGGTGAGGACACTTATGAACAGAAGAAACAGACAACCACCTCCAGGATGATCTGTTTGCGGTGGCTCTTACGAGTTCCGGCATTGTTACCTCCGTCCACTATTTGATGTTGTCTGACCAGCTCTCGTACTGTCTTCCTCGCTCGCGTCCACCTTGCATGATGATCTTGCAGCAGCTGAGCTGCCCGGCCGTGTGATGCATCCAGACCATACCATCTTCCGACGCTTAATAGTGGCGAGGAGAGATTCCTGTCGACCCCAGAGACTTTTGACCTTGTTCCGAACATAGTCATTTGTTTTGTGCCCCCAGTATGGAATGCGGAGGAGCTTTCTCAAGTTCATTATCGAATGCCTGGATCCTTTTTCATCCATTATTGCCTAAATCTCACAGCCGTAGAGCAGTATATTATTAACCTCAATAATACATAATATTTGCTTTAATTGTTTAATGTTTCACTACAAATAATAAAATCCTGCAATGCCTGCTTTTGAATAAAACTGATTCTCTATTTAATAAAAGGAGGCACGGCTGGAATCATTTATGGACAACACTGTATTTAACAAAGTTTGACAGTATTCGAGGCCAAACAGAGATAAAAAAAAAAGAATCAGAAATTACAACGTTAATGTATGTCCCGACATGAGGCTGACATTGTTATTTTCCTTTTTTTTCCTTTTTTTTTATTTATTTATTTATGAGGTAATTTAAACACTCGTCTTAGTTTATGAAAAGACAAGAAAGTTGGCAAGTAATTCCCGGCTATGTTAGACTGACATTAACTCCTTGCACTGATGAATCATCAACAAGTTCACTTGGAATAAACATCTGTTCACACTCTGTGATCGCATAAATTAAATAATAATAAAACGAAAAAAAAAATTGCAAAAAGTCATGAAAAAAAAAAACAAGTTTGAAAAATTATCATAGATTTGAGTTCAAGCTTAAATCAAGTATTGATTAAGTTATTCGTTTTCTAAAATATTTTAAAATAATGAATACACACGAAAAAGGAAGAAAACAATTTTGAAAAAAAAAGATAAGTATAATTAAACAATTTTAATTTTCAGCGAAATTCCATTCAAACATTTAATTTTATAAGGTAGCCAAAATTTCATATGCATTCTGATTTATTTATTTATATTTATTTATTTTATGAATTATACATATTTATTCATATTATTTATGTATATTATAATATTATATTTATATTATGTATTATATTGCATTATATTATATATATATATAATATATATATTTTTACATATATATTTATTATTATATATTTTATTAATTAATATTTATTTTAAGTAATATTTTATTAATATAATATTATTTTATATTATATATATAATTATTAGTATATATATATATATATATACATTATATTATATATATATATAATATATATTATGTATATATCTATATTATATTATTTACATATTGTATGTATTTATTGAAATTATTTATGCACCATATATTATATGTATATTATATATTACATTATATTATATTATATATATAATATATTATATATAATCTTTATATATATATATATTATATATTTTACCCGTCAATATAGAATAATTTAATTAATATTTTTATTAATTTTATATATTATTTATATCATATATATATTATATTTATTAATATATATATATATATATATATAATATATATATATATATATATATATATATACATTATATTACATATATATATATATTATATTTTATCTATATCAATATTATATTATTTATATATGTATTTATTTATATATATTTCTGATTATTTATTAAGAAATTATGGAAATCTATTTGTTTAATGATATATATATATATATATATATATATATATATATATATATATATATATATATATATATATTTGCAAATGCGGTATGGGTATAGTTTTAGATTTATCACTTCTATTTAACCAGAAAGCAAGCTTCTAACAAGTTTAAAGCGGATTAAACATTTAAGAAAAATACACAGTAAGTCGTCATTAATTAATAGGAGTTGTCCCATAAGAAATACGGCATCGATTAAATCTGGTAGTGAAAATATACTTTAGAACGTGTATGGCTCTCCATGGCTTCCTATACTTTGTACTTCTGACCAATATCTGTCTCCTTACCATCATTCCAAGTTCCTGTTAATCCATCTATTTACACACATTTGTTTGGTGGATTACTCTCTGTTTCAGTCTGTAACTCTTCCCGTCAATATATTCTCTGATTGTCAAATTCTTCAAGCATTCTTTCCTCATTATATGTTCCAGAGATTTTCAATTTAATTTTTTTCTGCTCCTAAGCAAAAATCCCCTTTCCTTTCCCATTTTCCTTAAATCTTCCTCGTTGCCCACATATTCTGTCCTTGGAATTCTTAGAATCTAGAAGAATCTCTCTTTTACGGCGAGTCCTTTGTGAGAAAATTGTCCTGCATTCACGGACATATCGGTGGCCTGAAATAACGTAGCAGTTTTTCTTTGTTTCTAATAAATTTTTCCTGCTTCCTTTCCTCGTATTTCAGTTTCATATTTTCATACGGTCACACTAGTTGTTGACATTCCACACTACTTCAAACAAAAGGTTAGGAAGGAAATCCCCATCAATACTTGAAAGAGCGATAACAGCTACTGAGCTTGAAAATCTTATTTCCCTGAAAATTTGTTTTACGAGTGTTATGGGGTCCACCCCTTTTTCATACAAGTGGACTCGGCCAGTGTGTACTTGTACTGCTGCCGGTGAATACCCGGGGGAGATACACTGATACAGTGAGCAGTGAGAGTGTGAGGTAACCGCTTTGTAGGAGTCACAGTTGCGAGCACGTAGACTCAGAAGGAAGTCCTACTTCGATACTGAATTTCCCAGACTGTATATATATTATTATTGCTACTAACCGCATTTCTGGATCTACTAACCGTATTACCAATTGTATTATGACGTCAATATATTTATTTGCTATATTTCATTCCTGCGTTTGTCATTCATTTGAGACCGGATTTCATCTCGGAATCCACAACAAAGAGAAAGATTTTATAAATTTCCACCGAAAACAGCACTGACTGCTCGGTCAATTAATGACAAATATTTCCTTGTAGGGAAACGGCTAATACTACTGTTACTGTTCATAGCTACTAGAATCTGTAAATATCTTACAGACTTCTTTTATTGCTTTTGTTCCAATGCGAAATTCGTACAGCAGGCAATCTATAAGAGTCGGTGTTTGGTTCTATATGTTGATTGTAATCGTTATGACACCTGAACGTTATCTGGTTGTCAATAATATTTTAGTCACCGACTTCACGACTGAAAAGCAAGACAAAACGGATGCACAGAATAGATTGTTGAACGTAACGATTATTTGATAGAGTATGTCTGTAAATTGTCAGAGCTTTTTTTGTCATTTGTTTTAAAACAATTATTTTGATAATATAAAACATGTGAATGTCACTTCGAATTAGACTTGCCTCTCTTACGTAGCGGCTCTTGTTTCGCGAAAGAAAGCCAGACAAAATTTCTCATACTAAAATTTCACACATTAAAAGCCTCGTGAGCGCCTCAAGGTAGACGTTTACAATCACGAGGGTAATGCTGAATGAGGTATGACATGAATGGAAAAGGGGAAAGAAACAAGTGAAAAGTATAAGGATAGAGGTAAAGTTATGGTTCAATCTCGACATGAACAGCTCAGGATCAATGTGTTTTGGAAAGTATCTACGCGGGAGATTGTTCCTCAAAGTAGTCGTTATTGGGATAAAGCTGTGGAATTATTTTATTTCATTTGCAATATAGAGGAAACAAGGTTGGTTCGAACTCGTGGAAGTGTCATGGCGTGAACTAGTTGTAAAGGTCTGAACTGATGAAACCAAAGAATGAATCGCGTGAGACTATTTTCAGTGTAAATAACGACAGAATAACGAAAAGGATTTAAAGCTTGAAATATTCTCTATAAGAACCGCTAAAAGATTTCGCACTCTATAAAGAACCCATTTTTTTTGTGTGTCTGACTTTTGTCAACAAAGGGAGTTAGCTACTTCATGAAACGACTGAATGTGGCGATTATTATGCCAGCATCTTTAGCAGCCTATTTTATAAATCAGCTGGAGGTTCGAAGTGACCTTGAGGCTCAGTAGATTTACATAGCACGGATCCTTATTTATTGTAGAACTGTTCATGAAGAAAACCCAGCGTCTGATCAGTGATGCTGAAACGATATTCGGTTGGGTTTTCAGGCACTGACAATTACTAGCCGCTTATTTCCCCCAACGGTCGGTTCGAGCTCGATCCGAAAAAAATCAGCCGTAAGCCTCCGATCATCTTTACTGTTGTCTATTACGGAATCTATTCTATGTTCTTTGGGGAACCTTATACCACAACTTCAAATGCTTTTTGATTCTCTACAAATTCTATTAATGAATTTTTTTCAAAATAAGTTATTGTCAAATTCTTTTACTACATAAAGACCTCATTTTGTCTCCTAGGTGATACACCATTTCTCCTTTCTGAAATAAAACGTGTGCAATGGTTATGCTTTTGAATTCCCTATAAAGTTTATTAATGAAATCAAAATATCTCAATGTGAAAAAAACTACACCATATAGAACCCATGTTTGGCCCTTAGGGGCGCCCCATATCCACTTCCAACATATATTAATAACCTCAAACTTAATCTAGGTCCACAACTATTCCCTCGTGAAAGTCTGATAAAAATTAGTATCGTAGATTTGATTTCCAACAGGACACAAGTCCATACGTACGAGCTCGTTTATACTATAGAAAGAATAGTATATACATATATATATATATATATATATATATATATATATATATATAGAGAGAGAGAGAGAGAGAGAGAACAGCATACAGTATAGATAGAATTTTTGGTGTAAAATTGGTATTAAACAATACATGATTTTAAAACGTTCGTGATGTATTGATATGAATACAGCAATGATTTATGATTTTTTAAAGTTTTCAGTATTTTACTTGGTGATGGTAATTTTAGCAAGCAACGAGTGTGTTGTCCATAGGAATATAAATACATAAATATACATAAGTGTTTTTTTTATGTCTGTATGCAGCGACATTCACAAAAATAATCAACCAACCCGAATAAGGATAGAGAGAGAGGGAGAGGAGGGGGATGGGGGGGGGGGGGGGGAGAGGGGGGGAAAGGGGGAAAGAGAGGGAGGAGAGAAAGAGGTTCCTTCAATGTTCGTTCGGCAAAAATGATATACTGATATTTTAAGGAGTCATTAGGAGTCAAATAGCAACTCGTTTGGAAAACATTACTGCCAAGATGGAAATCCGGTATGTTCTAAAAAGCAACGGAAAACTTACAACTAAACCGGCTTTATGTGACACTTGGGGATCTTAAAATTAAAACATTATTATTCGTCGTCACCCTCTTTACATAATGCTAACTTATTTTATTTTTATATGACAAATTTTAACACACACACACACACACACACACACACACACATATATATATATATAAAGTTTCAAATTAAAAATTATAATGTTTTATTTTATGAAAGTATTTATTTATTTATATATATATTTGATATTTCAAATTGTTCTCAATTTTTCATCAGAAATAACTGTTTGTTACAAATAAATTAAATATATATATATATATATATATATATATATATATATATATATATATATGTATGTATGGACACTGAGGTCAACACCAAGTGGCGACAGTCTGTTACATGCCTGAACGCAATCTTCAGACGATTTCTTGATCATCGTTATATATATATATTTGCATTGATTCTTCCGTTCAACCGTGGAAAAGAATGTCGCAGCTTGGTGTTGATCTCACTGTCTACTTTTAAATTTAAATCGATGTCTGTAATTGGGCACTTTTACCCTTAAACATAGCATAACTGAAAACTATATTTTTATCATATAACACACACACACACACACACACACACACACACACATATATATATATATATATATATATATATATATATATAACGATTTCTCAGAGATAACCTGTAGAAAAAGACAATATGTATAAAGGTAAATGACAATAGGAAAACTATTATTAGCCGACGTGTTCCGTCCACTGTGGACTTTTTCAAGGCAAAAACGAAATTTATTGAAAGTAAAGTAACTATTAGGAACAAACAAAATGTCCTTACCAACTTGAAGAATTTAGAAAACGCTACCGCAATTTTTCTTTGACAATATGAATACAACAGCGCTTTAAAAATTCTTTTAGTTGCTAAGGACATTGTGCTTGTTGTTAATAGTTACTTTGTTTTCAATAAATTCATTTCGTTTTTTCCTTGAAAAATCCACATTGGGACGAAACGCGTCGTCTAATAATTCAGTTTTCCTACTGTCTTTAAGTCTTTTACCTTTATACATAAATATATATATATGTGTGTGTGTGTGTGTGTGTGTACGTGTGTAATGTATGTTTAGTATGACATATATGCATACTGTTCTTTTGTAAATAAAATATTTTCGTGTTTAGTCGCTTTTTGGAGTTCATCTCTTTGCATTCTTCAAGTCCTTCTTTGCGTCCTGTTAAGGAGTAGTATTTCAGTGATATACTAATGCCTATATTGGGCCTTAGGGAACAGAGAAAACTATATGTTTTCCCTCTCTTTCCAAGTAATTCATTGGTTCAGATATGTTAAATTGCAATCAGAAAGTCGTAATATCCATTTTAACCTTGAATGTTAAGAATACAAATCAAATTTGCTTCAAATTTAAGGTAAATCAATCAGTCCGTGATATAATAATGAGAAAATGCATTCATTTTCAGGTATAAAATATTTAGGTTTACAAACTGATCACCTATTTTACTATTACCCTTGATCATATACAGGGTTGCTCAGTTCTTTGAGGACACGTCTTTTAATAGCTTTATTATTATTTTTAAATGGTCTGATTATCATTTATTTTCAATCGTAATTGTATCTGTAATTGTTGCCTGAAAAGTAGAGTATAGTGATTTAGAGATTCTACAGTCCTTTGTTGTTAAATTTCGCAAAGAGGTGGAAGCCGCCGGCGAGTTTTCATCAGCGCTAACATGCTAAGGGTCGGAATGTTATAACACACAAATTTGTACCAAAAGCGCAGAAATTTATCTCTAACTCCCGAAGGTCAATTAATTAGATCAAGGTTTCAAGGCGTTCTATTGGAAGAATTGTGCCTGACTGCCAATACAATGATATTTGATACGGTGATGCCAGTTCATATCTGCAACAAAAGTTAGCCGTTTGAACCGAACAATGCGATTGTTGAGCAAGGTGAATCATCAGAAGCCTGGAATGCTTTGATTTTTCTATGATAGGAAAAACTTTGATCAGGATCAAAAAGTCAACCGAGGCAATAATTCCAACGGCCATGTTCACAAAGTTTCCGGCAGGTTCGCTTGTCGAGCGGTTCACGTATCTTCCCCGTTTTTTAAAAGTTTTTTTTTTTTTCATTTTTTATGGGGTCCTCCCCTTTTTCATATAAGTGGACTCGACCAGTGTTACTTGGACTGCTGCCGTTAAATACCCAGAGTTAGACAGTCAGTCAGAATACAGAGAGTGGATTGAGTCAGTAAGAAGACTGAGATTGTGACTGAGTTGGAGGTAGAGTAATAGTGTGAGGTAACCGCTTGTAGAAGTCAGTTACAAGCACGTCGACTCTAAGGAAGTCCTACTTCGAGACTGTATATATCTCTATATGTTATTGCTACTAACCGCGTTCCTGGATTTACTAACAGTATTACCCTTTGTATTATTGTGTAAATACATTTTATTTCTTATATTTAATTCCTGCATTTGTCATTCATTGGAGATCGAATTTCATCTCGGAATCTACAACATTTTTTTTTCTGGTTTCTATTTAATATTGAGGTTCCTGTTACTTCTGAATTATTGTCACTCACTTTCATTTCCAGTAACTACCTTACGTCTTAGTGGCATTATCGCCTTCCTTGGAGTGAAAGTGTTTAAATAATCTGTGATGGTTCTGGGGGTCGTGAGCAATGCCTCCTTACTTCTTTCCTCAGGATTTAAGAATCACTGCTGCTGAATATAAGGAGGACTGGAGGAAGATTTGGAAGCATTGGATAGAGAGCATGCGCAAAGGAAGACTGTACATAGACCAGCAAGATTATGTACCGTCTTATAGCGCCAAGACAACCCAAACGAGTTACAATGGCCCCCTAGCTCCACATACTTGAAAATGTCGAACTACTAAATACGGGGCATAGTCGAGAGAAAGGTCTATCAATGTTTTCATAAAATCTCTAAAGTCCGCCATAACTAGCACAATGTCCAATTTTAGATGTCGTATTGAAGCGGCCATCTATGCCAACGGCAAATACATTAAGTAGATGCTCTCAAAAAGAGTCTCAAGATAAAGCTTCTTTTCCCTTACATGCACATTTTACTAAATTCATGCAGATACCATCAAAGAGCAACAGTGTAGACTAAACCATATACAGTGTAAATAACAGATAACTTATCAGATAATAATTGTGTTTTAGATCACATACTTATAAAAAAAACGTGTCTGCTATATGACATGAATCATTATTCCCTTGAAATCAAGATTGGTATAGATTCTGACAAAAGGCCGTCAAGTGAGCATTATCGACATTTCAATACACCTCAATGTAATGAAGTAGTTGCAATAATCACAGAAGAAGAATTTGGAAAATGTAATATGGTTCTCCAAGGTCGGGATAATAAGCTAAAAAGAATATATGAGATTGTTTATATGATGCTTTACAATACCATCCGCTTTTTGTAAATGGTAAAGATGGGTATCATTTTGGAATTCCTCAAGTTGGGGGAAACTCCATTAAGACTTTCATGCAAAGACTTTTATGCTTTCTTCCTTATGATTCGAGAAAATTCTTTTAATCATTTTCATATAGTCCCAAACCTGTTCCACCTGTTTGTTGTATGTATGTATGTATGTATGTATGTATGTATGTATGTATAGATAGATAGATAGATAGATAGATAGATAGATAGATAGATAGATATGAATAGACTAAGATAAATATATGGATACGTATAGACTCAGATAGCTAGCTAGTTAGGTAGATGAACAACCTGTGATAGATAAACGGGTAAATAGATGTGAACTGATTGTATCATAATTATTACGCTGCCATAATGCTTGAATGTTAATACGCTTCCTTTTTCAAGCGTAAGGCTCTCAGCTTAGCACCTCGACTACACCAAATGAGTCATTGTTTGTGAGACTAGCTCGCTTAAATTATTCATTCACCAGAGCCAAATATTTTTAGCTTGAAATGTGTGTTGAACTCACTACGTTTGCCCTTATATATAATATTAGGTTGGCCAGAAAGTCCCGACTCACTTAGGAAGCGGAAAGAAAACAACATATATTGATATCTGTCTGGGGGAATTTCCAAGGTGTACTGCATTTCGAACTTGTTCTACACGGTCAAACCATCAAAACTAAATTGTTTTGCCAGCAGCTAAACCTCATGCAACACAAATTAAAGAAGGAGCATCCTGCTTTGGTCAATCGGGGTCGGATTTTGTTTCAGGCACGACAATACGAGACCGCACATTACCAGGCTGTCTAAGGAGAAGCTCAAAGAGATGGGCAATGTTCAGATTCTTCCACATCCACCATTCACTCCTGATGCTGCTCCGAGTGACAATGGCACTTCTTCCGTGACCACTTTTAATGAAGGGCGAAGCTTGTTTACGGATTTTTCATTCAAAGCCAGCGGACGGGTATCTGGGACAGATTCGAATGCTGGCTGATCGCTGGCAGAAGATCGTCTAGAATAATGGACTTTAATTTGAAGAATAAATGTTGGTGTTGCTCCATAAACTTTTGTTATTTTCTTTCCGCTTTCTAAGTGAGTCAGGACTTTCTGATTCACCTAATAATGATTACAAGACGAAAGAAGCAGAATTAACTGGGATTAATACGCGGGACTAATTTACAAAATACAAAGTACAATAAAGATGAAGAGTTTCAGTCAGAGATTTTTTAAACAACAAAAACATTTAAAAAAGGAGAAAGTCCCAAAAAGAATATAATAACCAGTAATTAAATTAAATTAAGTATTATTAGAGAAACTAAGCTCGCTTGTTTCTTTTTTTTCTATACAAAATACAAAGACAGTGTCATTTTCAACGTGTTAACTCATAATACACTTAAGTGTTTTTTTTTTTTTCTGGGCAAAGGTATTCATCTTCTGATTATATTTTCAATTAAGATTATACACGTTATGCATTCTTTACGTTCACATTCACTGACGATATCTGTGGCCATTCGATACGATCGTTTTAAATTTCTTGGCAATGAAAGCAAAAATAGATACGACCAGGCTCTCTAAACATTGCGACTATTTCTCCATATATGCTTGGCTGCTCATTTCCGAGTATGATGTCTGCGATGGTATCAAGCTAATCCTTGTTGTAGAAACCTGTTCAGAAACATCTGGACATTCCTTTAACAACCATAACGCTGGTTTATGCTAAAACTATGCTGATCGACGGAACTCGTATCAAGTTACTGAGAGCAAACGCACGATGTTGTGCGAGCAGTGGTTGTGCAATGGTCGTAATCTCAAACGATCTATCAATATCACCTGTGACGACGCTTTAGCACAAGCACCAAAGACCTCCGAACATTTTTCTGCCTAATTACAAGCATATACCTTGGGTTGACTCGTGGAATGGTGGTCAGCCACATCTGAGCATTTCAGCTGGCGGTGATCGTGTCCTCTGTCCCATATTATCAAGAAGTCGCCATCTTGATTAATTGATCATGCTGAGATTCGAACTCAGGTCTTATAATGGAAACGTTAACTCTCTAAGCACTAGGTCATGCGCCTACATTCTTTTCATATTTTTTTTTAATTGAGCTCACGCCAAGCAAGGCAGTAAAGCCACTGAGACGCAAAGAGTTACAGCGTGTGAAAAAGTTAGAAAGAGGAACATTGATAAGGAGCGAGAACAGACGAAGAATAATCAGGGCGACGGCATAAAACGATTGACATTGTATTTGAATTTTTGCAGCTTAGAGGTGACTGAAAAGCATAGAGCCGGAAGGAAGTTCCACAAGCTAGAAGTGTGTGAATAGAAACCGTTTTCATAGAATCTAGCCAGTTCAACTGTAAATCTAGTACTGCGCTTAAATTCGAAGTGTCTAGGAGCCATGACGAAGAGCTTATCCAAACAATTACTTATGGCGGTGAGAAAGTGGCGGATGTCGAGACACCAAATCGGAGTCGGTGACATAGCTGATAGTTTTTTAGGTTTTATCAAGGAGCACTAAATAGATAACAGGGGCATCAAACCATGTGTGGTAGAAATATTCTAAGCATGGGCGATTAGAAGACTTCAAGATATATAAACAAGTTTTGGAGAAAAAAGGCGTTGAACTACGACATAATCAACTAACCTTCTTGCCAGAAAACCTAGCAATGGATTCGATAAAGTCTTTCCCCTTTATGTCAGCTGAGAAAGGCGCAGAGTGAGTCACTCTCCTGGAGGTTAGGCAAAAAGATTTCTCCAGATTATTAATAGAGAACAGTTTAGTTTTAGAAGCGTTAAAATTAACAAGCCATCCTTTGCCCCAGTTAACAACAGACTGGAGGTTGTTTTGGATATCAGCTGCCATTTTGATCTTATCAAACAATAAAGACTTACTATCAAGACAGGAGTAAATGGTTAAACATTTAATCTACTGATTGATATTTATTCAATTTAATCTGTCACAAATTTAAACGTATGTGACACCTAGTGAGGAACAATTTATAAACAACAATGTAATGGTAATGTTATTTAATCAGTTATAAGGCTAGATATGTCGATTGCACTAAGAGGATATAATTCCCTACTGAACGAACGCTTGTGGAGCTGGTTTTTAAACCATGACTGCAGGGACTTTGCAAAATGGCCATTAATTTCCATAGTATCTCCGTTAAGATAGATAATAGGATAAGTTTTCGCCTTGCGCACAGACTAAGGCTAAGATATTCTCAAAATAGATTCCTAGTTTTGAAACCAGAAACCTATTCCAAGAATACTTGATGACAAGCCAACAGTTATTCGCTTGTTCCACTATGTTTTATTTATTTATTTACACTTTTGCCAACGTGATAAGTAAGAAAAAAAAAATGAAAACAAAATTTGAAAAAAACTAAGTTACAGACGCTCACGTGAAGGTAAAACGAAAAGAAAAAAAAGTTCGGTCTTGAATTCAATATGCAACAAGCTGAAAGGAAGCATGCCTGAATAGAAAAAAAAATAACACTTGATTTTCAAGTTAGATTTTTGGCAGGACATTAAGTGTTTACAAAGCGTAGCTCAGTCACGTAAGAGGAAATAACGAATAAGATTTAACCATTTTCTAAGTGATGCCTATTTGTCTTGAAATAATCATTACAGAACCTGAGTTCAAACACCAGCAGGAATATGCAGACAAATTCATAATTTGACGTCCCAAATTATTACAGTTTTTTTAGCATGGTTTATAAGCCGTCATCGGCTTATAAACCATGCTAAAAAACTATCTATCATGACTTCATACTAGAGTTCGGCCATCAAATATAGAAGGTGTTAATAAAAAAAATAAAGGCATGAACCAAAGGTTTCCTAGATTCGCCAAAAACAATAATAATAACAGTGAAAATATTCCATTTGGAATACTAAAAAATATTCATCTCTTACTTTTCATTGTTTCTAACTATATTTTTCAAAACAAAAATTACAATCTGAAACTAAATGAGTGTAGTGATGGAATATACCCTGCTTGCGGTTTATATCCCGTTGAAACACTGGTACGATCACCGAAGGTAAGCGGCGTTTAGGCTGGTCAGTATGTACATGGGTGACCGCTTGGGAACACAACGTGTTTTAAGCTAGGGTGGTGTAATGGATAACGGCTCGGAATTTGAACTCGAAGAGCCGAGTTGCAATAACAATAAGCTTCGTTATAGTCACTCATGTGCAAATACCCTTCATAAAGGCATGAAAACGTCTCTTCTTCTTCCAGCTATGGGTTAAATCTTAGGTCTTGTATCAGTAAATTACTATTAACCTCCGCCCCCAATAAATCTGCTTCATGCTTTCCAGCGTGTTGGAAGTCCTCCTCTGTAGTTCCTACTTTTAAGAACTCTGAGGAACCTTCTGACACCTTTAACCTTCGCCCTATTAGTCTCCTACTGGTTGTCAGCAAAGTATTCAAGGTTTTAATCAATGCTGAAGTGATTAATTCTCTTACTTCTCGCGAATTACACTCTGAAAAAGAACATGACTTCCGTTTGGCCAGTTCTACCGCTGATGTGCTAACGGCCTTCACTGAATATGTATACCAAGCTCTTGATTATAATGACGATTCTCGAGCTTTGGCTCTATATATCTCGAAGGCGTTTGACAGGGTTTGGCACGACGGTCTTCTGCGTAACATTCAGGGCTACGGTATTAAAGGATGACTGTTTGCTTTAATCCAAACCTTCCTACCAAATCGTGAAACAAGACTCACTTCCAGATACTTTCACACGAACGCGGGGTTTCCCAAAGCTCTATTCTGGGTCCTACGCTGTTTCTGATCTTCATCAATGATCTTCCTGATGTGATCAGTTCCCAAATAGGCATTTATGCAGAGGACACTATCATTTATTCCTGTCTCAGTAGCAAATCCGTCATGGCTGACAAAGATAACCTGGTCGCTGCTCTTGAAATCAATCAGTGGTTAAGGGGGGAAGAAAATGCCTTGTAAATTTGAATGCCTCCAAATCGAAACTGTTCTCATTTAACCACCATAGAAAAATCTTCCTGCTCGCCATCAGCATTGCTGATACTACTCATGGAGAGCAACACACTGCACCAACTGACTTGAAGAGGGACAACTACATTGAATCAGTAGCTGCATCTACTGCAAGGAAAGTTGGATTACTTTTGTTACAGTTTTTTGTGTATATGTATATAGATATATAACTAGTATATTTATTATGTAATAATAAATATAGATATATAACTAGTGAGTTAGTCCAAATGCCTTGACTCGCTTTATAGTCTACCAATAGAAGGTTAACCAATCAGAAGACGTAGAATATTCAATCCGTCGTGTATAAAGGCGGCCATTTTGTTTACTCTATCCGAATGTCCAGTTCAGCTTGTCAGGCGAAGAGGAACAGAAGGACGAACTATGCTCTGCTACTTTTATCGAAATATCCAATGCTATCCTGAACAACGCTTTCCTACTGTCTTCGAAAAATTAACTGCTAATCTCTGGATTCTATACTCGAAGACGACCGTCCGGATGAACAACATGTGTTGCTTGTGGGGTCAGTTGGTTCAGTAATTAAATAGTAATTTCCTTTGCTTTCTAGACGGAATCTTGTAAGAAATAACACTTACTAACAAAAGACAAGAGAAGTCAAAATTTTGTTACACAGTGTAATCAAATTCAAGGTAATATTACTACTTGTTTACTAATGGCTGTAGAATAATGGCATGCGTGTATGGAAAGCAACTAAAATTAATATGAATGCTAGTCAAAAATTAATGGTCGAACGAAGAGCTTAACAAAATGGATATTGAGAATGGCTCTGAGAGATTTGGAAATTTAACATAATTTAACATTATTACGTAGATTGTCACCAGTCATCTGAGTTTCCGTTGACCTCTGTTAACATTATCCTTAACGAGGTCACAGAATTAAATGCTAAAGTCTTGTGATAACTTGAAGATTTTCTAAATATTATAACAGTGTTTCCAATGTTTTATGGCATTCAGTACTGTTGCAGTTTTTTGTGTATATATATGTAACTAGTGAGTTAGCTCAAATGACTTAACTCACTTTATAGTCCACCAATAGAAGGTTAACCAATCAGAAGGCGTAGAACATTCAATTCGTCGTGTATAAAGGCGGCCATTTTTGTTCACTCTACCCGAATGTCCAGTCCAGCTTGTCAGGCGAAGAGAACCAGAAGGATGAACTATGCTCTGCTACTTTTATCGAAACATCCACTGCTAACCTGAAATATGCTTTCCTACTGTCTTCGTAATATTCACTGCTAATCTCTGGATTCTATACTCGAAGACGACCGTCATGATGAATAACAACTTTGTTGTGCCAGAAGGTTTTTCTCGTCAGAGTCCATCTCACATATTTACAAATCTACAATTCGTTTATGCAATGAATACTGTTGCCATATTCGGTCAGGTGATCCTGCTATTCATCTCGAGGTTCTTGACAAAATCCAAAGACGGATCTGTAATGTAACGTGATAGAGTTTATATGCGTTTTTTCTACATATATTTCCATGGCAACTACCCTGACGAGTTTTTTTTTCCTGGTTCGCCGGCTACATGAATTTAAACATGCTACTAGATTGGCATATAGGTCCCACGCTTTAACTGTCGAAATAGCTAAATGTAACTGCCACTTCTACTCCAACCGTTTCTTTTCTCGCACTTTTCGCCTGTGAAACTTCTTCCGTTTACTTGCTTCCCTGAAAACTATAGTCTTCAAAAATTTAACTGCTACCTCAATCGCCATTTTCTTGAAACTTGTTAATCTTTTATCCTTTCCTCACCCCCTACCATATCCAGTCTTTTCTCTCACTTTCACTCCCTGTAATCCCGTGCGTACTAGTAGCATTCCCGTCTGGCTTGAAGTGAAGTGATTAAAACAAAAAAAAAATCTAAAAATATTTTCCGGATTTAAATAACCAACAAAGAGTTGATAAGTCATAAAAAACAAATCAATTAATACCTTGAATCTTACTTATTATAAAACGAAGATTGTGTGTGTGTGTGTGTGTGTGTGTGTGTGTGTGTGTGTGTGTGTCTGTACGTTTATATATTGGATCGGATTTCCTACATTTTTCAACCGATTTCAACAAAACTTGACAGGACTACGTAAAATTACCTTTCGGTGGTTGCCAAAAATGGGAAAAACACAATTGTTTTTGCACGAAATCAATTTGAAAACACGATTAAGAGGCATCACGAGAATGAAAGGGGGACAACTCATATCGAGTTATACTTAAAAACCCAGGTTGTTTGTGTGTGTTTGTGTGTGTGTTCGTTTATATATGGGATTGGATTTCCTACATTTTTCAACCGATTTCAACAAAACTTCACTTTTTCTGGCAGGTAGTGTTTCTTATTGTCTTGCACACTTTTTTCTTTATTTTTACATTCAGAATGCTTTAAAAATTCCATTTACAAGACAATTGTTTATAATAAAATTCTATTCAATCGGTAGACTCATAACGATTGAAAACAATGTTCTTGTTTGAGTTTGGGTTTGACCAATTCGTAAAAAAAAAAAAAATAATAATAATTAAGATATGCGTGTCCGTCAAGCTTAAACAATAATCTTTGTCAATTTTATTTTTCAGTCTTTATGATGGTCGATACTTGATCTATCACTTACTGTTACAACCCCGGGCAACGCCGGGCTCTACTGCTAGTCAATCATAAATGTAGATAATATGAAATTAGTAAATCCTACAAAGTTATATCATTTTCGAGTTTTGTTTCTGATGTGGACCCAAAGTTGGAACCACGGAAGGAAAACACGGAACACGGATTAGAGGCCAGAAAGATATATTAAACAAAAAGGTTACAAGGATAGTGTAAGTGTAAGCGGAGCTTACTATGTGCTAGTGTCCAATATTGGTAGTCGTACGCGGCTGATACTACGGTATTAGAATACTTTCTCTCTCTCTCTCTTTCCTCTTCTTCGCCTAGAGTGTTATATCGCATACTTTATATAATCCTGGAAGAGTCCATGTTGTAGGTATGTTACGGTCTCACAACAGTTTCCTAAATTCCTTGATGTATTAGATCAATGTATTTAACATTGATTTAACAAGAATGAAACCGCTTGACACAGATTGAACCATAAATTTCTCGCGCATGCACATTAGGTTATAACGTTACCTCTCACTTCATTGGTTTACAGCCGTGCATAGAATTAAAGTGTGTAGAGTGTTATCAACACACCACACCACAGAGGTTTCATCAATGACCACGGCATATGAAGCAGTTTTTGCCTAAGGTCAACATTCCCCACATCCGTCAACGACCATATTCCCCAGATCTTACCCTTATGTATAAATTTATTAATTTTGGTAAATTTGAAAGAGATTCCGGGAATTATACAGTATAGAATATTTTCATTGGTCAATAAATCAGATGATAAGTAAGGTGACCTGTCTGCTACCACATCCGAAGAAGTAACTGTCTGAAAAGAGGATCAGGCGCTAAATTTA